GTCTCGTAGGCTCCCAGAGGCACCTGTGAGATCCAGGAAGCTGGAGTAGATGGGCCTTTGGCCTGATCCAGCACAGGGCTCTTCCGATGTTCTTAACAACAGTCACCATTTCCCCTCTCTGACAGAAGAACTACTGGCAAGAAGAATGAAAGCATTTTGAGACCCGTTTAGGTTTTCAGCAGCATTTTGTATTAGGGTTGAAAGCCTAAGGCTCATTTTGTATTCTGTCCATATTATGTCTTGCTTGTTGTCTCAATGGAAGGGGACCACTGAGTCCAGCCCCTGTCAAGCAGGCACAGTGAGGAATTGAACACCCAACCTCTCAACCTGTGAGCTATCCAGCAATTCATTGGGAAAGTGGTGATTATAGGGTGGCTCCTTGTTATTCAAATGAATATTAAAAAACAGAAGTCTTTAAGGCCAACTAGTTTTTATTTAAATGAATAAATCTTTAAGAGGTTGTTGTGGGTTTTTCGGGCTCTTTCGCCGTGTTCTGAAAGTTGTTCTTCCTAACGTTTTGCCAGTCTCTGTGGCCATGGGCATCTTCAGAGGACAGCACTCTCTGCTCTAACTAGAACATGGCCAAAGAGCCCGAAAAACCCATAACAACCACTAGATCCCAGCAGTGAAAGCCTTTGCAAAATCTTTAAGACTCATTAGACTTAAAATGGGAATTTTAAAGGTGTGATCGAGACCCATTTCTCCTCATTCTCTTCAAATTTAGTTAGCATTCTCAGAAAAGAATCAACTTTTTCTCTTCAGCCAGTTTTGTCTGTTTAAAATATTTTTATCCTGCCTTCCTCCTTGAAAAGAATCTAAGGAGGCTTATATCATTAAAAGACAATATTTAAAGCTGAAGATGGTTGAGTATACAGATACTAAAAAGGATCAGTCGAATACTATAATAAAAAAAACATGAGCAATAACAAAACATGTCCAAAGCAGTAAGCTACCACAATCCATTTGAAAAACCCCACTCAGGCGGGCAGTTGCTGAGGGAAAGCCTGCCTGAAGAGAAAGGTCATGGCCTGCTTGCAGAAGAACAGCCAAGCTGAGGCCAGCCTGGCCTCCAGTGGGAGGGAGTTCCAGAGTTTGGGAAGAACAACAGAGAAGGCCCTGTCCTCACCAGACGCGCCTCCTCTCCATGCTACCTTTGCCACAAGTCCATTTGGAAGGCCCAGGTTTCCATGACACAGAGAGGATGCTCCGAGTGCCAGAGATCCCTATCAGCTCTCATCGCATCTGGAGCCTTCCTGATGTTATTGTTATTGTTAGTGCTGCCTGCCTTCAAAAGCAACGGTTCAAAGGACTCTCTCAGAAACAATGGCATTCCTAGCCGTGAGCTGTGATGGTGCCTGGAGTTCTGGGCCTTTCTGTGCCCCAGTGGGAAGGCAATGCGCCCAGTGAGCAGGATGAGGAGCAGAAAGAGGGGTGTGGAACATGGGTCTTTTTGCAGGACCTCCGTGTGTAGAGAAGGATCTCTTGGTGGTTAGGGACAGAGTTTGAGGATGGTCCTGGGCCTTGGCAGTTTGTTGAAGAGACTGTCCAGCTAAGAAAACAAGATGGTGCCAGCTGGGAGACAATTCATAGTATTCGTTGTTGTGGAAAGAGAGGTATGGCTGCCAGAACCTGAATCTTCTCTCTCAAACTAAGGCAAGGTCACAGATCCAAGGACTGGCTCTTTTTGAGTAAAGTAACATGTCCAACGAACCTCGGGCCATCTGCCAAGGAATGGGCCTTTTCTAAGGTGTTGCTTTTTCTTGCCCCTGCAGTGGCACCTTCTTTCATTGTCCAGGACTGCAGAGGAACTTTCACTCTGGGATTGGGACCCCACTAAGCCCTCCATGAAGGCATCATCCACCCAAATCTTTTGTCTCAGCTTCTCTTGGGCTTCGAGAAAATAAATGAGCTAGTGAAGTTTCAATCCTGCCATCTTGGTTTGCGCAATGTGTGTTGTTTAGGATTCATAATTGGCAGATTAGGATCACTGGAAATATAGAGATTATGCTACAGAGCATTTACATGAAAAACGGAATGTATAATTGTTTTAATACTATCTCTATGTATACAAAATGGAGCATTAGTTACACACAGCTATGGTTTTGTCCAGAGCATATGGGGTTTTTTTATACATACCTCCAGAAGAAGGTTGTGCACTGAAACATATCAATCTAAACAACTAAACAACAACAAAGCGTCTACACTCTCAAAACTTTCATGCTTTGCTTCATCTGGGAATGTCTAAATGTCACATCACCTCCTTTCAGCCAAGTGAGGCCAGAATTCTGGTTTCAGACCTGCATGTAGTTCCAGGAGCTCAGCTTGAAGTTGGGGACACTTTTCAGGAAGGTAATAGTGAAGGAGCAACTTGTCATTTGTTGTTGTTGTTTAGTCGTTGAGTCGTGTCCGACTCTTCATGACCCCATGGACCAGAGCACACCAGGCCCTCCTGTCTTCCATGGCCTCCCGGAGTTGGGTCAAATTCATGTTGGTGTCTTCGATGACCCTGTCCAGCCATCTCATCCTCGGTCGTCCCCTTCTCCTCTTGCCTTCACACTTTCCCAACATCAGGGAATTTTCCAAGGAGTCTTCTGTTCTCATGAGATGGCCAAAGTACTGGAGCCTCAGCTTCAGGATCTGTCCTTCCAGTGAGCACTCAGGGTTGATCTCCTTCAGAACGGATAGGTTTGTTCTCCTTGCAGTCCAGGGGACTCTCAAGAGCCTCCTCCAGCACCACAATTCAAAAGCATCAATTATTCGGCGGTCTGCTTTCTTTATGGTCCAGCTCTCACTTCCATACATCGCTACAGGGAAAACCAGAGCTTTGACTATGCAGACCTTTGTCGGCAAGGTGATGTCTTGTCATATCCCTTCTGGTTTTTTCCCTATCTGTTTTTCTTTCAGTTTGCACAACTACTACTCTTTTTTTAACTCTTGTGTCCTTTTGCTGGACATCATATTCATCTCACGGTGTTCCTGGCCAGTGTCCTTCAAGAGATAACATAAATATTGTTGGTCACTGACCACAATTTTGGCAGGAGAGAATCAGATTTTCCAAGTCTCTTTCTTGGCATGCAGCCTCTTTCACCTGACGGGTATCTGCAGTGGAAATGTCACCTTTTTTGACATACTCAGTGCATGCCTGTGTGCCGTCATGTGGAGACAGGATTCCACCACACACACACACACATACACGCCACTGCAGTCGGTTAAATGGCAGATTCAACACTCCTGCCATTTCCGTCTTGGTTGTGAAGAAATGGCCATGCTCTTCTAGCAGGTTTCTCCTGATGGGAAGATGGCAGGTCCTCTTAGTTTCCACCAGGGAGAAAAACTATATGGGAAGGTGACCGCATCTTTGCCAAGTTTTGCTGCAGTCAGAAGAGGATTTCCAGACCATGCTCACAACCGAAGACTCATTTCAGCCCAGATTTTGACCTTGTTTGGCAACCCAACTGGCCTTTGTTGCCCTGGCAGAGGATCTCGGGGGGTGGGGGGGATTCAGCTCTGTTGATTCTGGCTATACCTCGGCAGCCTTTTATGCTCTGGAGCACCGCAACCCTTCCTTTTCTCGAAGGCACACTAAGCGCATAGGGTGGCCCAGGGTTCCACATGTATCTATGAGCAATGTCCATCTGTGACAATAGCCCCAGGGGACTGTTCCTTGGCTTTTTGGTGGAGGTGCTTGAGGGTACCCAGAGCTCTTCAACAGATATAATGAAGGCTCCTCAGGAAGCTATTCAGGGTGCTCTTTTCAACTTAAAAAAATATGCATGGCCTCATAGGGTCAGCGGTGCCTCTTGGGAGCATGACTGGCATTTCTGGGCCATGTTCACCTCCCCGAACTTATTAGGCCTGGGTTATGTGCAGTCAAGTCATATAAGGTGATGGGGATGATTTGAGCAATGGCAACCCCAGTAGGGGGTTTCAGTGTGTGAGAGAGATATGTCCGTGGTAGGTTTCCCATTCCACCTCTTCCCTGGGAGTTTCCACCACCAAGCGGGGATTCAAATCCAGATGTCCTAAATCCTAACTCACTACTCTAGCCACCAACTCTACACTGACTCTCAGAGAAGCCTCTCTGTGAGTTTTCTACTTTGCATGAACCATTTTGTTTTGCATTTCTTTTCTTTTCTCAGATAATAAAGTTTAGTTGCATCTTAGATATGCTTCAGCCTGTCCGTCACCCGTTGCTTCTTTCATGCACTGTAGAGTCCCACCGTTGAGGAAAGGAGAAGCAAGCCCTTAGGCTTGACATCCTTTTCTGGTTTTCTTTTCTTTCTTGCATTTTCCAAACTCAGGGAAGGGCAGAGATCCTCCCTCTCCTCTTTGTCTTGGGTGGATGGAGAAGGAGGAGATGGTGGCAGCTACTAATTCAAGCTGTTATCAAAGGAAACCGCCCTTATTTTCCTTACAGCCCATTGGAATGTCTAACAAACTTGCATGCTGCCTTCAGTTAGGATTGGCTGGGAGGGACTTTTCTGGTCTGGGGTGACTGTCCGTCAGTCCAGCTCTAACCAATCATGCCTTCCCTTCCTCTGAACTCAAAGAGAGCCCCGCCTCGCTGCTCAGTGCTTTTCCTCCTCGGTTGTGTGTTGAAGGTAGTGAGTCAGTTTGGAACTATTGCTGAAAGATAGTCCTATCACTGGCTTTCTGTTATCAGTTTTACTGTAAGAAATGAAACTTTTTGTTCTTTCACCCGATAATGCCTCCTAGTGATTTACTGAGACTGTAAGTGCCAATTGATGAGAGAAATGGGGTGGTACAGTCTGGGGAACGTGGAGCTAATTTCTGCTGTTAGTCCCTGCAGTTCTGCTGTGCAGCTAGAGGAATCTAACCAAAATTGCCATCTTGATTTAACGTGTCAGATGTGATTCAGAAGACTGTTACCCTTGAAATCAGACACATATAAGCCTGTGAATATCAGTGGGCTTATCCCTACCCAAACCCACCTCCTGAAAAAGTGGAAAGAAATTCTAATACATCTTGCCAGCCAAAACCAGGATATTTATTCAAGGAAGTCTAGGAGACGGAATCCTATTGGGTCTCCTGAGAATGGGGAAAGGGAAAACTGGATGTCAGGGGTTCTTCTCTCTGTGTGCCGGTCGCTCCTCCCTTCTGGTCCCGGAGACTTCTGTGCATCCTCCGGCTCAAAAGCCAACCAAAAGGACACCCTAAGCAAGGGAGGAGAGAAATTTGGTGTAAGCATTCTGTTTCAACACATCCTCCCACACAAGCAATCTGGGGGAAAGAAGCAGAAAAATGGGGCTGCTGTTCAAATTAACCTATTTCTCTCCTCTCTTGTCTCTTTCCAGACAGCTGGATTGCCCCAGGAAAATCTGGGCTCCCCCTCTGGACCCTATCTGCATAAACATTCATTCGTTCTGTCAAAATAGCCATAATTACAATAAATCCTTAAATGCTGAGTACTTCTAAATGTTCCTCAGAATCAGCAGAGAAAGATGGCGAAAACGTGCTCAGTGTATCTGAGAGAAACATGTTTCCTCTCCTGGTGGAAACCGCTGCTTGAATGCGTTTTCCCTGGGGACTGGGAACGGGGAGATAAAAGCAAAGAGGGGACACAGCCCAGCAACCAGGACCTGCGGGATTCTCCCCTTCCCAAAGTTTCCCCACTAATCTCAAGGGAGATGTTTGGAATTCCCAGCAACTGGGACCCATCTGATGGGTGGCTCCTTCTCATCGGAGAAAGGGGACGGGATCCCTGCTGGTATTAGTCAGCAAATATCAGGGCAAGGGAGGAACCGAGAAGAGAAGAAGCCACTGTCCAGTTCATCTCTCACTGAGGGACAGGGTCTGAGAAGTCAGTTTCCAAGAAAGTTCACTTTGACATAAACAAACCTTTCCTTTCCATTTGTCCTGTCTTTCCCTATTCATTACCCCCATCTTCTCCATTTACCTCTCCCTGAGCTTTGACTCTGTTGAAAACTGTTTCCAAGAGCCATTTTCCTAATTCTTTAAATTTTTGTGAATTAAATAATTAATTTCTCTCATTTAGTCTCTTATTCTAAAATAGAGAGAGACACACACAGAGAGAAAGTTACAAGCTTTGGAGGGGGCTCCAATTTTTGAGGTTCTATAAAGCTACTTTGGGTTATTCTGCCTTTTATGGGAGCTGTCCAAGGTCCTGATCCCTGTCTAAAATAAGGTCAGCCTGTCGGATGACTACAACCTGGAGTGCCCCCAGAATTGGGGTCACCAACAACCACCTCTTGAAGAAGGTCAGCTTGAGATCACTGTTGGCTTCCCAAAGGACCTTCTGTATCTTTAGGGTTGCTCTTCTCCCTTTCTTACTGGAAGAGGCTATTTTGACATCAGATGCAGCCTTCCTAATCAGTGACATTTTCTTGTGTTCAGGCCATTCTCCCAGGTTCTCAAGAGGCCCAGAATTGGGGTCACCAACAACCACCTCTTGAAGAAGGTCAGCTTGAGATCACTGTTGGCTTCCCAAAGGACCTTCTGTATCTTTAGGGTTGCTCTTCTCCCTTTCTTACTGGAAGAGGCTATTTTGACATCAGATGCAGCCTTCCTAATCAGTGACATTTTCTTGTGTTCAAGCCATTCTCCCAGGTTCTCAAGAGAGTCAATAAGTTCTCTTCCTCCCTGCCTTTCTTCTCTTACTAACTTTACTTTGAAGAAACAACTGTAAACATCTGTAAAACATGGCCAGGGTATCCTGTCTTTTCACAGCTGTCTCATGCTTTTTTGGATTGTACTCATTCCTTTAGTCCTTCCTCATGGACTGATCTCAGAAATACATATCTGGAACTCTGGACCTTGTTTTCTTGAGAGTGTTAAGCAAGTGGAGTTGGAGAAAGCCAGGATGGTTTGGCTGTCCCTTCAGGGCAATGTTGAAACTTAAATAGTGGGCAGAGGAAGTCTGGTTTAAGTTTCCCCCTGGAAAAGCCATCATCCTTTCACTTTCAGCTCATTCCCTCAATCCAGCACACACAAACATGTTAAAATTACCAACCTCCCTAATAGGGTTGCTTGATCATTCCACTGGAATAATTTCAGTATTACTACTATTTAATGGCAATTCAAAGTAATGGCTTACCTCAATAAAGAAGAACGTGGGATTAATGAGATCAGCGCCAAAGATTGAAGGTATAGGGAATCCAAAAGCAAGGTTGCCTGGAAGTAATCAATCACATTATATCAGGCACTGGAAAGAATGTATTGATTTAGATGGAGGCTGGTCTCAAGCATCAGCTCCTGGGCTTAGACTCTAAATGTGTTTCTGGTCCTGTGAATCAGGGCTACAGAAACTTCTCCTTTCTCTATAATATTTGTTTAACAGCTTTCACCAAACCAGATCCCAAGGCTGTTCATGATTAGGTGGATATATGACTAAAATGCAGTGCATCAAAAGTAACTGTGAAAGGCAGCAGGCCAATAAAACAACTAATAAGACTTTAGTTGCTTTCTAAATACAAACGGTTCTATACGGCATAGGGGGGAAAGGTAAACGGTGGTGCTATGCATGCCCTCCTAAGCAGAGAATTTCGTTACTGATGCATCATAGTTCTTTCCTTCTCCTCTCATGAAAGACAGTGAAAGGACAAGCACATGACCTCACAGAAGGGGCCTATCTCTGTTTCCTTAGAAGCCAGCCAGATGCCTCCAAAAAACACACAAAGAGGCTGTGGAGTCAACAGCCCCTGCCCACTGCTACCACCCAGCTACTTGAATCCTTCCTGGGGTCTTACTGTTGAAAACTGGCAAAACGGTTTCTCCCAGCAATTTGCCGCAATGGGATTCAAGACTGGAAACCTGCAAGGGAGCAAAGAGGTGGAGAGTGGATATCCAAGCATAAGAAACTGCCCTATGCAGGATCTGACCATAGATCTGTCCAATATTGTCCACAGGGAGCATTCGTAACTCTCCAGTGTTTTAGACAGAGAAAGGTCTCATCCACCCCTACAGGGAGGTTGAAAGGGACTTCCCCCTGCAAAACATGTGCCCCACCACAGAGCTAGCCCCCCTTCCCTGTTTACACTTGTAACATGTAGACATCATTCCCAAAAGGACATCTTTGAGAGGAAGAAGACGATGGCTCAGGAAAGATTAACTTACATCACTGATTCTGGCATCAGAATATATCAGCTCCAGTGCGTTGCTGAAGAACAGAAAAAGACAAGACTGTCAGAATCAAAAATTGTGGCCTTCCAGCTAAAACTGCCAAGTAGCTGCTTTCATGGGTACATGGACAATCCTTGTCACATCTCGCTTTAGCTGAACTCCATCAGCCCCTCACTCAGACCATGATAAATTCCTCTCCTGAAAATTGCCCTCTGGTGCCTGACAGATGGCTCCTTCTCTCCTCTCTAAAACATGCCTGGAACGCTGACTCTGTTTTGTCCGAGGCCTCTGATTGTTGGTGCCCAGCAAAGCTTTCCAGAATGGAGGGTTTTGATGAGGGACCCAGCAGATCCCTTCAAAATAGGTGCAATCCTTCTGGGTGCACAGATAGACCCTTCCAAGAGGATCTGTAAACCATCCCACATGGCAACTTTCCTTCCAAAGCAGGCATTGGAACAGCTTTTCCATTAGCCTGAATCAGAGACCCAGATCAGAGAAGCCTTTGATGGCAAATGTCCTCCTCCTATGATTTTAAGTAGAAAACCTGGCCCAAAAAGTTGCCTTTCTTGCCCAAATCCAATCCTGGATGGGAGATGGAGGACAGAAAGGAATGGCTTTGTCTTACCCAGTGATGGATGCCACAAGGATCACTCTTCTATTCACAAAAGACAGCACAGCACCCAAAATGACTCTCTGGAAACACACATTTGAAAACATTTAGCGGGGAGCAGAGTTTGGTCAAACTGAAACTCCGTCCCCTTCCTTTCAATATGGCAGAAACCAGTGGCGCTGGGGGCATTTTTGGTGCTGAGCAAAGCATCCTGTCATCCAGAAGGTGCTACTTACGCTTCTCATGACGAGGACGAAATAGGTAGATCCATCCGCGTTTCTGATGAAAAACTCAATTTTGGCAGTGAGAGTGATGACGATGCCGTTGGGTCCGAAATCTGCCTCTGGATACATTTCAGTGGAAATTCGAAAGTTCAAGACACCCTAGGGGGAAAAAATGAGATACACATCCAATCATCACTCCAGTGATGACGATGCCGTTGGGTCCGAAAACTGCCTTTGGATACATTTCAGTGGAAATTCGAATGTTCAAGACACCCTAGCAAGAAAAATGAGATACACATCCAATCATCACCCCAGTTTCTAAAGAAGAAGAGCTAAAATGGGTAGGGGGATTGTTTTGCACACACCCCCAACACCCACCCACGCACCCTCCGGGATTAGTCCCCAAATGAACATCACATACCGCAGAGGCGATTGCTTGGATCTGAAAAGAAAAGGGAAAAAGAGGATACTCAATACAGAATCTATCATGTGTATGCTCTTCCCAGAGAATTGTCATCCTGGGAAAATAAGACAGCAGTCAAGAGATGGGCCACATTGGGTTTTCATGGGGGGGGTGTACACCTTGTTCTTTTCTAAGGTTCCAAAATTCTCTTAAACTGGCCATTCCCCCTTTTAAAGGTCATAAATATTTTCACCCTAATCTCACAGGTTCTGCACTAAACCTCAAAAGGATCCCTAAAACACAAAAGGAGGTTTGGCAAAAGTCTGCCACATTTTGTGAGTCTCTCCCCCCCACACACACACACACACACCAACTTCAATGGAGGGGCAGGATCTAAGCATCCACTTTTCCCTGCCAAAGCTCTTTGGTTGGTGGGTTATTTTATTTGCTGCCTTTCCCTCAGTAAGGGAACCCAAGGCAGTCACAATATTAAAAGCAAGAGAACTGAAAGCATGTTAAGTTAAAGATTAAATAACCATTAAACTGTATGCTAATTAAAATGCAATTGAGTAACTAAAAGCAATGAACATTTAAAACGATCTTAACTCTAAGAAGGCACTCAGGGATTCAACCATGATGGTCGAAAGCCTGCCTGAAGAGATGCATCTTCTGGTGTCGGCAGAAGGATAAAAAGGAGGGAGAGCCTTCCATAACCTGGAAGTGGCCACAGAGAAAGCCCTCTCCCGTGTCCCCATCAGCCATGCCTGGTAGAAGGACCTCCTCTGATAATCTTAAATGCTGAATAGGCTTGTATGGGGAGATACGGTCCTTCAGATATTCTGCCAGGATTTCTTGCAAAAAAATTAGAGTTTCAGCGGGCAATGTTTTCCCCACATCTAACAATGGAGGGAACCTGCCTTTTGAATTTCCGCCTACTCTTAAATGCATTGAGCATCTCTTAGGGGAAAAACTGTTGGCAACTGTATAATAGGAATTAGAAGAAAGGGTCCCCCAGAAAGAGGGGGGTTCCTGCATGTGAGCCATTGCATCACGTTCTTTTGGAAACTGACCCTTCAGGCGCCTGGTTTTGCAGTGGCCGAGCATGAAAGCAATGGGACTCATGCCAAGCTGGGCTTCTAAGAACTCACTCACCTCAAGGGGTACAACAAGCAAAATGGCATTCCTCAGATCATCGGCTCCACTGAACTGTTTTGGAAAGTAGGGAGGGGGAAAAAAACATTACATTAGATGGAACTGGAGACTCATCTCCTCATTATGCGTATAAAGTCTCAACAACAGGAAAGCATTATGCATTCTAAGCAATTGGCATGAAATGGTTGTGCAGTTAGTTGAATTAAAAACTCTGTGGAAAATACACCATTCTTCTGGGAAGTCTGCAATTCTCTTATGACCCAGATGTTGCATTTAACCAAACTGACTTTCTCCTGGTCTGAAGAATCCTGCCTGCCTTTGAAGCATGTGTTCTGGTTGTAAAATCCTCTCATTTGCAACTTCTAACCATTAGGTCAACTTGCCAACGCCTACTCACTTTGTCAGGGGTGCAGGGCAGTTCAAAGGAATCTTTTGGAGCAAAAATAAATAGCAGAATGTTGATGAGTGCTGGATGGAAAGCATGGACGTGCTTGAAGTTACCAAGGGGAGGCACATTGATGGAGCCAGCTAAGTCAGGAATGGAGAGAATCCCTTGGCCCGGCACCTCAACATTGATCTAGAAAAGAGCAGAAAATGGCTGCCTGTTTTATCTTCCTTTAGAAATATGGGTGGACATTGGACTGACTCTGAGGTTTAGTGCTAACAGGGTTGGAGGGTGAACAGAAGAGGGATATCCCTCTTTTGTCAACTTCATTGATACTTACATATAAATTTATATTAGTGTAGCCATCAGAGACAACAGGCAGACTTCCCAGCATAAACCTCAGAGTTGCAAAAGGTCCCAAGGGAAAAGCCACTAAGAGGAAAAAAGAACAAGCTATGCAGTCAAGGCACCCCCAGAGGGGCTCTTTCTGAAACCACCCTGTTGGTTCCTCCCTATTTTCCTTGGCCTTTAGGTAAAGGTAAAGGTTCCCCTTGATATTTAGTCCAGTCGTGTCCGACCTTAGGGCGTGGTGCTCATCCCCATCACCAAGCCGTAGAGCAAGCGTTTTGTTTCCATGGTCACGTGGCCAGGGCGACTAGACATGGAACACTGTTGCCTTCCCACCGAGGTGGTACCTATTTGTCGACTCACATTTTTGCATGCTTTCGAACGGTTAGGTTGGCAGGAGCTGGGACAAGTGACTTACGACTGCTGGTCTTCTGATCTTACAGCACAGAGGCTTCTGCAGTTTAACCTGCAGTGCCACCACATCCCTTAGCCGTTAGAGATGGGCACAATCGTTGGTTCAGAGGTTTGTGCTGGTTCGTGCTGTGCTTTCTCAACCCTTTCATAGCTGGCTGGATCACCAGCAGGGGCTCCCATGCCCCACCTCCTTGGCTGGTTGCCCACTCAGAAGGGCAGGGAAGCCCATGCTCCTACCAAAGACTGATTGAGCAGCCAAAGGAGAAGAACAGGAGCATGCTCTGCCTGGTGAGTGGGTCTTTGGCTGGGGAGGTGGGGGGAGGGGGAAAATGTGCAACACCAGCATGGTGCCATGCATACAAACTGGCATGACTTCCAAACCAAGGTTCATGACCATCTCTAGGATAGGCTATTCCTTCCTGCAAGTAACCAAGACCTTGTTGGAGTTTTATTTACAACCTTGTATGCTCTGTATGGGTTGAGTGAGTGGGGAGGGACTTTTCTGTGCCATGCCGATTGTCTACCTATCCAACACTAACCAATCGTTTCTTCTAACCTTTGAAATTCAGAGAGAGCCTTGAAGAGAATCCCTGTGCTTTCTTTGTTATGTTTTCCCTCTCTCTTATTTTGGTCAGTGGCTGCAGTTTGTGTTCCGGTGGATCTGTTTGGTTGATTGCTAGAATGTGTGCAGTAAAGCAAGTAATATACAGCAAGTCTGTGATTTCAAGCAAGTAACTTTTTTTTTCATTCGTTCTCCTACAAATGTCTCAGAGAGCGTTATTGAGACTTTAAGAAAGAAGTGGGCTATTTGGGGAAGTGGAAGCTATTCTCTTTTGTGAGTGTATGGAATTCTACTATATATCAAAAAAGAGAATTTTATCAGAACTTCCAAAGCCTGCAACCACCATAAGCAGACCTCAGCTTAGAAGTAAATGAGGAGAGTGCTGAGGAATGAAATGGGAAAAGCTGTTTAGATGACTGATCACAAGAAGGTAAAAGGGAAGAGGTTTGATGTGCTTTTACTCCGCTACACAAACGAAGACCAACTGTATAATCCACTTATCTGTGCCAGGTATTATGGCTATCCAGAAGCAGTATTCTAGAACACACAGGAAAGGTCAGTCAACAGGGTGTTAAAGTATTTCGTTTTTATCATCCAGAGTAAGAGGTGTAAGACAGCATCAAGCCTTACCATTCACCGTGTCCAAGAAGAGGGATTTGACCAAGTTGAAGACCGTCTGCACCACGCCACATAACTGCAGGACAAAAAATGAGGATCAAACTATGAGAAAGGCCACACACACCCCTGGAAGCTTGCCTGGTCCAGGATTTGAACTTGTTCCTTCAGAAGAAGCAGGCCTAAAGGCAGGGGCACCCGCCCCTTCACGTATGACACGGTGGTGAAGGGTGGGTGTCCCGCCCACATCTGGAGACCAGATCCCTTGGTTGCCATGCCTTTCCCTCAGTAGATCAGTTGCCCAGCTTTGACACAGGTTCTGAGCTGACCTCGCGCCAAACTGACTGGGGTGGGTGGGAGGCTGGGAACATGTGGAGCACATTTTTATTACTTTTTAGGAACTGCATCCTTTTTTTCTACGTTAAAATAGAGGCCTACGTGAACAAACCACCAAAAAATGCTTAAGAAGAGAAAACAAACAGCGGAAAGTATCAAGCATCAATATTAAAAGTAGACATGGTCTAGAGGGGCGGAGTAAAAATCAAATAAATAAATTAATAAATAAATAAAAATAATCCACTCAGCAGCAAGGAGACCAGTAGGGAACTTTCGGTTGGAAAAAAAAAAAGTCAGCCCTCACCAGAGATGGGCAATGGGAAGGCTTTGGACTACAGCTCTCAGCATCCCCAGGTATGACCATCCTGGCTGGGGATGCTGGGAGTTGTTACCATGGCATGTGTTTTTTTTTAAGAGTGGGTTTAGCCAGGAACCTCAAGACAGGAGCTACTTAACCCAGGTGCCACAACTGAGAAAGATCTCTCTACCATGCCAAACAGTTGCCCTGGAGACGGGGGGTACAAGAGGCAGCAGGGCCGCTGGGACCAGCAGGCTTCCAGAGCCCAGGATTAACCCACAAAGCATGATGGGGTGCACAGAGTTGTGGGTTGTCCCTTTGGTCAGGAAGGAGGCTTTAGCCCTTTCTGGTTCCTGCCATCCAGCAGCTGATATTCAATGTCCCTGAATCTGAACAGCCGTCCTGTGTAACATCAGCAGCAAGAAGCTTCCTCAGCTCTCTTGATAACATGTTTTTTGGAAGCAGAAGAAACAGCCATTGTGACCTCTACTGAAAACAGTCCTTCCTCTCTTCTCAGGCACATTTAGATTTTAGAGCCATGCATACCCTTTTATTATCCATTCATTCCCTTCCCTCCATCTAGCAGTATATTTTGTAGGACTGTGTGAGCTCTTGGTTCAGATTTTGTGAATGTCTGCTAACTCCTAACAGAGCACAGCAGAGGAATAAAACTGAGACCAACCCCAGGAACAGGAAGAGCTAACAAGAGATTGATGGGGAAGAGGTAGTTGGGAAAGGTAGTAAAGAAAGAGTCTACTGGAGGGAGAGACAACCCTGATGGTTGATGGGGATTTCAGAGGGAATTGACCTGGCAGGGTGAGTTTGTTACCATTCTTAAAGCAGGCTGCATTTTTCAGTGCTGCCCCATTCAATGGCTCTCAACATAAACACATTCTTCCTTTTCAATCAGATGACAGTCTGACACAATCATTTCATCTGTGGACTTACCTTGAGGTTTATGTCAGCAATGAGGGAGTTCCGTATTGTATCCACAAGTGATGTTGTAAGTGTGCTGCAATATAAAACAAGAAGCCCATGAAAACTGGTTTTATTGCACACACATTGTTCCAGCCGGAATAGGACTGTGTGAGCTGTTGGTTCCAATTGTGTGAATGTTTGCTGACTGCTAAGAAAGCATAGTAGAGAAATACATAAAACTCAGGTAAACCCCGCAAAGTGATCAGAGAGAGCTAACAGGAGGTTGATGGTGGAGAGGTCGTTAGGAAAGGTAGTGAAGAAAGAGTCTAGTGGAGAAAGAGACAAAAGAAAAGGAGAAACCGAGGGGAAAAGAAGGCACAGAGAGCACAGCAGAGGAATAAAATGGAAATAGACTCAAGGGAGTGAGCGAACAGGGAGAGTAAACAGGAGTTTGATGGGGAAGTTTTAGCAAGGGGGAGACCCTTACAAATTGTTTTGTTTCTCAATATAGTTATATATTAGTGGACATTCCCTGCATACTTCAAGGCAGACATGAAATAGCAAGGGGCATTCACAGACAAATAGAACAAAGTAAAAAAGCTAACAAGGATTATGGAAAGAAGTGACATGTCAGTAGTCGTGGCGGGAAGAGACATTGCAGTGTGGTGACCTGCAAGGTATGCGCACTGTTTGCCTCGGTGCCTGTGAACAACATGACATACATCTGCAGCAAATACAAATTGGTCACATTGGTGGGAAAGGAAGTGAGAGAACTGGATCAGAGAGTGGCCAGACTTAAGGCTATAAGAGAAGATGCAAAATGCCGATGCAGAACTCTCAAGCAGCCACCACCACCAAGGGAGGCCCTGATGGAGGAAGAGCAGCAAGAGAAAGCAGGGGAGGAGAGCACGGAGAAGAACCAACACAGGGGAAGCACCCTGGAGAAGAGTTCCAGCCAAGAGCCAAAGAAGGAGAAGACACCCTTCATCAGGGGAACTGCAAAACCACTTTCAGGTACGTGAAGAGGAGTCTCCCGGACAGCATGCAGAGGAAGACGTACAGGAGACCCTGGAGGGAGAACCTGAGAGGGGCTGAAGCCGAGACACTCAGAGGCACTGAACCCACACCTTACAAAAAGAAGAGAAAAGTAATTGTGATCCCATGCAGGAGACACTCTCCTGCATGGGATTAAAACTGAAATATGCCAGGCAGATCCATGTACCCGTCACGTATGCTGACTCCCTGGAGGACAGGTTAGAGATGTGACAGAATGGTTGCCATCTCTCATCCAAACCACCTACGCCTATCCCTTTCTTCTCATCCACATGGGAACAAACAACATAGCCAAGAGGAACTACAGAGAAATCACATCAGACACTCTGGGAAGAAAATCCAAGGATTTGGGGGCCCACGTCGTCTTCTCGTCCATCCCACCAGTACTCAGAAGAGGAACAGAAAGGGAAAGAAAAATTCTCCGGGAGAATGACTGGCTACAAGAGGGATCCCAATGTGAGGGATTTGGTTTTGGGGACCGCAGTCTGAGCCTCCTGGAAGATGGGCTGCTGGCAAGAGACGGGTTGCACCTCACAGGGACTGGAAGGAATGCGTTTGCTCATGAAGCATGAAGAGACCTACCTCATCAGGAGGGCTTTAAACTGAACTGGAAGGGGGAGGGAGATGCGAGCTCAGAGGTAAAGACAGGTGAAGGCTTATCGCCTATAAGAGGAACAAATCAAGCAGCACTAACGAGGCCCAATCATATTCTTCATTAAAATGTCTGAATGAAGGAAAGCAGACCACAAATCACATTATCTCCTGGGTCTATAGATGAATGCCAGGAGTATGGGAAACAAGCAAGAACCAAAAATCTTAGTTCAAGGTGGTAAATATAATTTTATAGGAAACCTGAATCTCAGTGGAGTGACTTCCATG